GCTTCAACATTTTGGGGAGGGCTTGGGGGCCCTTTTACTTTCCACGCCCTCCCTTAGACCAGTTTCTATTAATACTTTGTCTTCCAGCGGCAGCTAAATCTGTTTTAGACGATAAGGACGATGGTGCCGGTTCTGGATAGTTGCATTTTTAGCAGGGAGTATCCGGTAACTGAAAGGATGACCTCCTTGGGTTCTTTGGATCAAAGGAGGTGATGGCTGTGAAATGAATACGCGGCCCAAAATGTAATTTAAATGCTTATTTATATAAAATATTTAATTTGTATCATATATAGGTAAAGAAATATATAACCTAAAATAACATACAAATTCATAATTTAAAATGAGCAAGCCATCAGTACATAAGGGCCCTGAGGGGCTGTAGAGTTCAGACCGTGCCAATCCCCGACCTTAAATATACTCTCTTCATTTTGCAGCTGGGGATTTTTGTAATTATAAAAATGGGATTCAGAGGGTCCAGTAATCAGCTGAACTTCTTTTTTTTTTTAAGTTTTGCGTCGATAAACCAAAAGAGTCTAGCAACCCCAGAGACACCGGCAGACCGGAACGTGATGGTCTGACCCTGGTGCTGCTTTCTGTCATCTGTTTGTCGGGCCCTTGCTTCTTTGCATTCTTCATCACTCAGTTACGTTTCGTGCGACCATCCCGGTAGGATTATTACTGAGTGCCTACTAAGCCCTGTATGGTTCTAGGCTTCGAGAGTAGAGGGCTATTAAGACAAGTCCCTGCTAAGTTAGAGTTGAGCCAAGTAATGAAAAACAGATAAACTGAACTAAGGAGCGATCCTTACTTGAATTTTTACCCTAGGTTTTCATCTTCCAGGTAGCCACAGTTTACTAGTACAGCAGTGATTTACTGAATGCCTGCTGTGTTGCACATGATACAGAGATGTGTACTAACTGCTTTCTGCCCCCCTGGAGTTTATAATCTGGTGGAGTCAATAAACTAAGAACACAGAAGTCTGAAACGTGAAATATAAATACCAAGGAAGTCACAAAATGCTGTGGACTTGAGAGGAGGAAGAAGTTACATCTTTGGTCATCTGAAACAAAGCAGCATCTATAAAATATTTAGCACAGTGTATAAACGACACAATTAGGTATTCTTATTACAGGATGACTTTAAAAAAATAAAAGGGTGATTATTGTAACAAGTGTTGATGTTCAAGATGAGCATTCCGAAAGATACAGGACTGCAAGTATAGGTTTATCTAAGAGATACCCAGTAGTCTGGTCCAGCTAAACAACGCATGTATAAAAGATTAGTTGGAAAAGAGGCTACAGAGGTAAATTAGGGGCTTGTTGTAGAAAACCTGGCCAAGGAGTTGGAATCTTATATCACAGGAAATTACATATTAAGCAAGAGTAGCATCACTGAACTACGGCCGTTTACAAGTTACATGTCGAGAGTAAGTGACTGAGGTTGACGACAGTAGAACAGAAAAAAAGGAAGACTGACAGGGACGTTTCAGAGTCAAAATCTGTGATTTAGCGACTGCTTAGATAGTGTGCCAAATACAGAGGAAAGTAGGTTGTGAAAGCACAAATGAAATTACTATTATTGTTATGACATGATGGCTTGAATTTGAGTGACTGGGTGTTCCACAAACACATACAGGTCCACGATAGGGCCAGAATAGGGATGTGGTGGGGGAATTCTCTCATTCTGTTGTAATTCTTTCATTATTTCTTTGGATTGTTTAGATATTTAATTGTATTGTGTACATTAGAGAACACTTTACCTTCTTTTCACTTCTTTTGTTTCTAAGTGTTTTCATTTGTCCATCACAGTAGCTAATATTTCTAGCAAAATCCTCAATAAGATGCTGGCTTTGAGATATGTGTGTGTGTGTGAGTATATATATATAAAATATTGATACTAAGGAAATACCCACTAATTCCTTTTTTATTGTGAAGGGTTTTGTTTTTGTTTTTGTTTTTTTACCATGAATGAGTGTTGAATTGTTTTCAAATGCATTTTCTGTATCTTTGGATGTGATCCCTAGCTCTGTGGTATAGACTGAATGTTTGTGACTCTCCCTACCCCAGAATTCATATATTGAAATTCTGACTCCCAGTGTGATGGTATTAAGAGATGGGGCCTCCAGTAGGTGATCAGATTGTGGGGGTAGAACCCTCATGGTAGGTTGAGAGCCCTTTTGAAAGAGACCCCAGAGAGGTCCCTTACCCCTTCCTTGATTTGAGGGCACAGGGAGAAGACTGCTGGTCTGTGAACCAGGGAGCCATCTCGCACCAGACGCTGAATCCACCTGCACCATGATCTTGGACTTCTGAGCCTCCAGAACTGTGAGAAATGAATTTCTGTTGTTTATAAGCCACCCATTCAATGGTAGTTTGTTATAGGAGCCAGAACCAACTAAGGCACTCTGTTAATATGGTGGGTTATATGAATGGATTCCTAATGTTGAGCCATTGCACATTCCTGGAATAAACTCCACGTGGGCATGAGGAATTAAGTTTTAATATGCTCTTATACCTTGTTTTCTAATTCTTCTTTTAAGCTTTGGCCATAAATATCCATAGTTGACATCAATCTGTGTTTTTCTTTTTTATGGATTGTTATACTATTATTGTATTATTATATTCAAATTAGAAAATGAATTTGTAAGATTTCCTTGGTTTTCTATGCAGTGGGATACTTACGTAGCATTTGGATTATCTGATCGTTAACAATTGGGTAGAAACTACCTTGAGATGTAACTCTTCTGTTTTGATGGTTATTGTTGCTTCTCATTAGCTATGTGTGTGCTTTCTTTTTTATTATTTTAGTTAGTCTTTTTTCTTTGTGGGCTTTTCAAAGACACAAATTAATTGTGTTTTTGTTTCTCCTCCCATCTTTATATTTCCGTTTTATAAAATCTGTTAAGTAATATTATGTCTTCATAATAAATGGTAGCCTTTAGCATCAGAAAATATTCTTCTTTTACTCTTAATGTTTTTTAATCTGAATTCTAGTGAGTCAAATACCAGGATTTCATGGTAGGAAACTGAGGCTGTTGTTTATCTAAAAGGACACTATGGACCTCAGTTAAGGTTTAGTGCTTTTTGACTGAATATCTTTCACTCTTTGATAATTTCTGCTGAGACCCTAACGGCAGTAATGAGGGGAGGGACTGGGGGGCTTGGTCGGCGCTTGAGTGAATAGGAAGTGGTCAAGGAGGGACAACACGCTTAGCTATATTTCCTAAGAGTAGGAAGACCCCTAGCATAAAGGTAATGTTTCCATCTTATTTGCAAATAATTACTCTTCTGTGACACCATCTGGGTACCAGTTAACTGGCATGTCATGGAGGACTGTTTCATGGATGAAGGCAGAAGGTATGAGACTTGCTGGTCAGAGACTGAGGACTTTGTTACTCTTGGCACAGCACACAGCATGAGCTTCACGTCCCTCCGAGTCCCTCAGGGGTGACGCAAAGTGCCCGGATGTATGTCATGCACATGCACCATTTGCATTTCATCCGAGCAATGTTGAGCTTGAGGAACCTACCCTTCCATACCAAGCAGTAAGCAAGGAGACACGACCTCCTCTGTCAGGTAGCTCAGTGCAGGTGCAGCCCTGCAACGGCCTGAGTAAGAAGTCAGGGCTGCACATCGCTGGCTTACCCAGCAAAACGTGTGCAAACGTAAGACATCTGAATAAGACTTCTCTTGCAGTACGTAGTTTCCAAAAGTTGGGTGCATTTAAGATTGTGATAAATGACAAACTGCCTTCAGATAGATTGTGCCCATTTACACTCCAGGCACAGTTAACAACCATGGAGTTTTTGTTTGTTATGCTGAGCTGATTGCTAATTTGCATTTCTGAATGTAAGTGAGGTTAGATACGAAGTATGTTGGTTGCTCATTTCCTGTGAATTGCCTATCCCAAATCTTCAGCTATGAATTACCGTCTGCCGCTTCCTTGCTTGATTTTCAAGACCTCAGATGCTCTGAGTCCACCCCACGTTACCGAATTCATTTCTCCAACACTCACTTCTCCCTTCGCTCACCATCTCCTGGGTCTGTCATCTCCTCACATCCTGTGCCTTCACCCATGTTCCCTTCACTCAGAACGCCCCCTCTTCTGTAATCCCGTCACATTCTTTCTTCCCATTCCTTGGGTTCCAACTCAAGCTTCCCTGCCTCTCCCAAATATTCCTTGACAAGTTCTACTTACCTGGACTTCCTTGCTTTGAACTCTTACAGAAAGGAACTTCATAAACCAGAATATGTTAACTTGGTTAATGAAAGACCTATAATTCCTCAAGACTGCTAAGCAGACCATACCAGTCTTACACTTCTGGAAGTCTTATTTCTATGCATTTCTTTATAGACAGGAAACTAGAAGAACAAAACAGTTCAGCAGAGGGAAAAGCACTTTCTGGGCGTTTGAGGGGACACAGGGCTATGGAGTTTTAAAAACTTGCTGCTTGCAGGTCATTTTATTTCTGTCTTAAGTTGTTTCAAGTGTGACTCTTATGGCTCATAAGGAAATTTAAGAATATATTTCAGGTTTTGTTACAGTATGTACATTTCTTTTCCTTCTTACTTACATCAGAATTACCTTTTCAGCCCGAGGCCCTTCGAATGAAGCAGATAGTCCACTCAGGGGGCCGTGCGGCTCCTGGAAAAGCCCATCGTCGGCCAACCCTCTGCAGTGTTTCTCCAGGCAGCTACCCTTCCACACTTCTGTCCTGTCCTCTGTCACTCTTTGCGTCTCGGCTTTGCCCTCTGGTTCTCCATTTGCATCTCAGGCCCTCCTTTCTCAGACTTGCTTTTTGAGCCCAGCCTTCCAGTCCCCTGTCCGTGGCCCCTCTGTGTGCTCTGACTGTCCGCCTGTGTGACAGGTTAGCTCGTGGGTTCACAGCCGCCTGCCCCACGTGCACCAGAACAGTATGCGGAGCATCCTCAGGGGTGGGAGTTGGAAGTTTTACCCGAGACCTTTGGTTTCTGTGAATCTGTACCTCACCCTCCCGAGAAAAGGGAAAAGCAAGAAGCCCTTCCATATTCTCTAGAGAGTCAGAGGCATCCGGAAGTTGTCCGGAAGTTACTGGGATTCTTTAGGCAGACTAGGCAGTTAGTATCCAGCTTCTCTGTTCCTGGTATCCAGACAGTGGTCCTTTCAGGAAAGTGAGAAGCTGCCTGTGAATCGTGTGACATTCTCTTACTTGAAGAGCCAGATAACCCTTCTCTCTTCCTGGCCGCCTCAGACTCACCAGAAACCCACTGTCAAAACTCTCTCTCTGACACCTGCGGCGGACATCTGGTCACTGGGGAGCCCAGGTTCTAATTTACATCCCTGCACACACATCCCGAGGAGCTCATCCCAGCTGGAGCAGATGGACCTGTGAAGAGCTGTCCCCTGCGGGCTGGCTTCAGGGCATCATGTGTGAGTGTGCAGTTTGCCCAGGACCCGGTTGTAACACTTCAGACCCCCAAAGCTCTAGGGTCGAGAAGTCCAGAGGTTCAGACCATGCCTCTTGAGATTTATTACCTTTAACTCATTTGTGTTCTCTGGAGGAAAGTCTCTAGATGTCCGCCGGCAACAAAGCCAGCTGCATCTGGGGTGGATATAAACGGGGGGAATAGTTCCCGGGACCGTGTAGAAGGCTTAACACCATAGGCCTGAGACTCCTGCCCTGAGAAGTACTTGCTTGCAGGGTTGGCCCTTGGCCGGCATCTGGGAGCTTGGCCAGTAACAGTTCCACGGTTCCCTGCACTGGTATAAAACTTCTCCTAAGGGATCGAAATGTCTCCTGTTCTGAAGCTGTCGGCAGAAACACCTGCTTTTCTTCAGAGAGTCTGGAATGTTGGTATGTGCTGGGCAGAGGGTCTCTTTACAACGATCCCCAAGTGAAAACCCTGGGCCCCCGTGAATCAAACCTGTAAGGATGATGTCCTGCAGACTTCTCCCCCAAATCAGACATCGCCGGGTCCTGGCTTTCTGCGCACTAAAGCTCGTGACCCAGCATGTGCAGTCAGGCGGCACCCCACTGTACTGTATTTAGTCAAAACTCCCAGTTTTCTTGAATGCTAAGAATTTCATAGGTCTGTATCTGTTGGTCTAATTAACTGCTCTGATTTGAAAGCATGATAAAACATTGCCTGACTTCTTGAGAGGGCCACATGCTTACAGCCGGATGGACCCTTAAGGGCCCAAGGCGCCAGGGGGACTGGGTTCTATCTCCAAGGTATTCATATTTCCGAAGGGATGAAGCCTAGACCCAGGAGACAGCTCTCGGATATAAAAGCCAGGACTGGGTATGTCTAGAAAAACACATTTACATTCCATATGGTTAGGGTGAAAACCAGCATCCTTCCCATCCCAAAGAAAGATTTTGTTCATGCTTTTGTTTTTTTCTCTCCCCTTTTGGGAAGGAGAGGACCAGCTGTCTCTCACAGGTGTATAAAGGGAAAATCTGTCATTCTCTGACCACCATGAGGGAGCTGTTCCCATCTGGCTTAAATTCCTGTGCTCTAGGGGTAAAGTACAGGGAGCAGGGTCCCGTGCACTTACCACTGATTATAATTAATAAGGAAACTGTTTCTGATTCAGAACATTTCATGTGTGCAGCCAGAATAAATGAATGGGAATGAATATTAAAAACCCAGCACTCCCTACCCTGCGTAGCCAAAAATGGTACACGAGAAAGACAAAGTGTTTTCCAACCTCATGGCAATAGCTGTGAATTCAGATAACTCAGATCTAGAGGCAGATGGGGCCAGGGCCTCATGTGACAGGTGCAGGCGTGGAGAGAAGATGCCACAGGGGACCAGAAGCAGGGGGTCGTCAGTGCCACTCTGTGGGTGGTCTGAGCAGCATGAAGTAGTGCCTCGTGCCCCACACTGGTTCTGCCACATTCAGATGGGCCAACAGAGCTTCCATGGAGAGAATTGCTGACAGTATTCAAATCTCTCTGGGATATCTCGCTGGAAGCAAGAAATGGCATGAGTGGAAGCCCTTTATTATGCAGCTAAGAGATGTTGTTAAGAACCTACTCTTAAAGGCAGTAAACAGACCTATGGTCTCTGTGCTGGTGAAACCTAGGGGACCTTCTTGCTATTTGCTGCTAGTTGAGAAACTTTGCATTTTATACCAAGCATATGAAGAAAGAGAGAGAGGTGATCTGGTGAAGAGAGATCTCAGAAGCAAACTGTAGTCTTTAATGAAAGGTCCGAAGAGGGAGCTGACCCAATGCCTTAAACACTATCATTGCTGGATTTTACATCTATAGCTGGACAAATGCACTAAACTTACGTACACATTACACATTCGGTAGCACTGGGGCGCTCTGGAAAGTTGGGCATGATCCAAGCATGCTCCTCCATGTACAATTACAGAGTATCTGTACAGAGTGTTTATTTGGGATCCAAAGAAATGCCCTGGGATGAGCAAGAGGGAGTGGGAACAGGTGCTTGCTTTCTAATTTACTGTGTGCTGTTACCAGTCTTCCAAGTAATGTTTTTGGCTGCTTCATGTGTTTACCACTTACGAGTCATTTTGCTGCTCACTTTCATAATGCGTCTTCAGTTGTAGATTAAACCACGTCTGTTCTCAGCAGAGCTGTTTAGATCTCAGAATGAGAAATACCTGTTAGTGTCTGTCATAGTTGCCTAAGTAAAATCAAAATATTTAATGATATCAAATGATTGAAGCCACCTTTTTCGATAATGTAATATGGGAGTAGCTAAATTGACATTTTTATATGTGGTGTCTAGTCAGCCCACACGATGCTTCTGTTCCGTCAGTGCACTATGAGAATTAATAAGATAATGTTTTAAAATTATTTGGAAATGATAACATTATGTATATTTATAATTCTGTTAGCTTACATATATATATATATGTGTATATATATATATATATATATATATATAAAACCTCCAAACCCAATATTTATATATATGTATATATAAGCTAATAGAATTTTTATTGTTAAATATAATAGTATGTTATTAGACCGTTCAAAACATAATTCTCTGGTTAAGCCAACTGTGTTAAAGAGTAGGAGTCTGTTTTATGGGCCTTGAAACACTGGCTTAATATTCCCATTGTGTTTTTTAATATCTGATTGCTGTTGTGCTAAGGAGATTCTGTCTCTTTGGAAGAGTTGCTTTAATGAAGACGTGTTCATTATCTGTTTTATTACTGCCTAAAACAACCATGTTTGGTAACAAAGAAGAGAATCTGCTTTTTTTTTTAAAAAGGTGAACCATGGCAGGCAAACTCACTATTATTACAGAAAAGATTCTTACAGCACCTCCTACCAGAAATTGTAACAGTTAGTTTCCAAAAATCTGCTTTGGAAGATACTAGCACAACTGATGCCAGTCAGCCTATTTCTGAAAATTCCTTTGCCGAGAGATGAGCTCTAGAAGCAAAGGAAACAGAAAGCCCCAACGCCAGCTTTCTGAGCTCACCTGCCGAGTGTGGTGCCTGCGCGTGACCTCACTGCCTCTGATCCACCGAGGGGTGAGTTATTTGAAGGCCCTGCGGAATTGTAAAAGAAGCATTTCATTAGATTGTCAGTCTAATGTTTTGATCTGAGACACTGTAAATAAATCTCTCAAGCAGCCACCCTCTCCAGTGAGCTCAAATAATCATTTACAGTTTTATTGAGAGAAAGGCTGACTTTGCCAAAAAGCAGGCTAACAGCTGGTCCATTCCTAATTTATTGGTGCAGATTCTCAGATAATCATTATTCATAAGGAACACTCTAAGTCAAGCATCCCCAATTCTTGGTTATTATATTTTTGATTGCATCAGTGGTCAGTATATATTATTCAGTGGAAAGCTGAGTACATTGGTGATGGAATCAGTAGAGCTTAAACTCCAGTGAGGATTTTGAACTGTTGATGATGGGGGACATCTGTCATTCATGTCTGCTAAATTTTTTTCAGTGCTCTCTCCTTGCAGTGATAGTTCTGCACCTTGTGCATTCTGCCTCCCCAGCACAGAATCCAGAAAACTGCATCTCCCGGCACTGCTTGCAGCCGGGGTACGCACATGTGACTTAGAGTTCACTGATCAGCTCTGGCCTCATGAACCTGTGATTTGACTGCCTACAGAAGAAACAAGGGCCTGACGCCCCGTGTGCAGGCATGGACGCTTGAGTCTGAGGGTGAGCGAAGCTGCGCGGGGAGTCCCTGCGGAGGCTGTGGAGATGGGGTGCTCGCTGGTGGCAGCAGCACCTTCTAGATCGTGGTCTGAGGTCAGAGGAGGCAGCACTCCTTGTTCTCTGGTCACTCACTAATGCTGAGCTTGTGTGATGCTCTTGTGCAGCGGTTGGCACGATTTCAAATCCACCTGTTTATAACAAATGGTTTTTAAGAGTGAAGTGGCTTTCGAGAATGAAGTCAGTGTTTTGATGTAGAAGTGACATTGAGCGTCGGGGTGTCACCGTCCACATTTGTGGCTGCCAGTGAGCGCTCAGTAGCTTGGCTGCCGAGGGTCCCCGCGGGGGGCTCGTCGGTAAGCATGGTGAAGCAGCAGCTCTGGCAAGGGGATCTTCAGGTTATAAATGTTCGGAGCTTGTGAGGGCTTCCCGAGCGTTGGGTCTGGGTAGGGCCGCCCTCTGCCGACCCAGACAGCTCTCCAAAGACCTTGGGGCATTAGCTCCTGCCGTGGTGACGGAGGGACTCCTGTACCAGCAGTGGCCCCAGCAGGGAAGACCGTCTGGCCCGCCAGCACCGCTGTGGCCCTTCGGAGCTGCGGGCTCGGCAGCGGGGGGCGTTGCGCTTTTGTGCCGGCGGCCGGCCGGCAGCTCGAGCTGGCCCAGCCGTCTCCCCTGAGAACCAGCTCACAGCAAGGTGCGACTCCCCTGGTCTGGAGCAGTAGTGTAATTAATCTACCAGTGGTTTGGACGTGTTATTTCTTTATTGGTTTATTAAGAGAGATTATCCTGTATCCTATTGGCTTGTTGAATTATTAGAATCCCCGTAGTGAACCTGTGTTAGACAAATTCGTGGCAAAGACAGTCTCCATCTCTCAGCATAATTTGTCCTGAAACAGAACAAATACCTTTTCGAAAATGACATTTCATGGCATTAGACTTACCGTTACGAGTCTGTTTTCTGGAATATCCAGCCATTGTTGACTTCTGAGCCTTTGCGGGTACATAATCATGAGCAAGAACCACATTCTCTTTTTTGTCCTTTAGTTTACAGTATTTACGCTCAGCTTAGTTACAGAGTGCCAGATGACAGCTCATTGCCGATACTTTATTAAGCAAACACCATGTAGTAATATCTAGGACTGCCACAGGGACTCCATAGTCATCTGTGGCCGTGTTTGAACAGTTGTACCGAGTAGATATTTCTTTGGGGACAATCTTCTAAAATGAGTTCCAGATATTATCTCGCAAGATGTTTAGCCCTGGAGTCTTAGCTCAGTACTTTCCTTTATGCGCTTGTACCCAGGCTTCACAGAGCAGTGTTGAATTCTGTGCCCTGCATTTTCCGCTGCCGCACATCCACGCTTCTGTTGTGCCATCACTTTGATGTTATTCTCTGATGCGTGCCTTTCTCTCACTATCCAATTAGTCACCAGGTTCTGTCAGTTCTGCCCTGGAATGTATCTTGCATTTAACCACGTTTCTCAAGTGTTACTTCATTGCCCTAGTTCCAGCCGTCACCTCGCCTGGATGACTGGGGCAGCGTCCCCACCCGCCCTCTGATTCAGTACGCACCAGCTAACAGCATCCTGCCTCGCCTTGAGTAAAGCCTTTCAGTCATCTTCCATTTAGTTTAGAATAAAACCCTGTGGACTTGTGATCTTGTGTTTTGGTTCTTCAAGAGGAAGTCACGGAGGCAGAGCCCAGCACGCAGGCGGTTTTGCAGGGGGCACCAGGGCAGTTCCCCAGGGGGCTGACAGCTGAGGGCAGGTGCAGGCGGCACTGCCGGCTGGAGAAGAAGAGCTTCAGTTCCCGAGGGGCATGGGGGTCCATCACCGCGTCTGCTGTCCGTGGCCCTGGGACAGTGGCCGGGCCCCTCTTCAGCACCGTCCTGTGCCCGGCCTCCCTCACACACGCTTCAGGCGCAGTGGCCTTCTGTCAGGTCCTGGGAAACCAAATCCTTGACTCCCACAGGCCCCCGAGCCTCCTCCCCTGTGCCTGGCACCCTCTTCACGTGGCCGGCTCTCTGGTCCTTCTGATCCCTGCTTAACGCTCTCCGAAAGGTGTCCCCTGGCTTCCCTGGTTGTGGGTCACCACTGTTACTCTTTGTCACAACACTGCGTTTACTTCTACACTGTACCTGTCAGTCTGTATTTATCTTTTAAATCATTATTATCTGGCTCCTTCACGAGAATACAAGTCCCACGGCAAAAGGGAAGCCTGTTTTGCGCATGCTTGTTTCTCTGACCTCTGACATGGTGTGGGCACTTGAGAAGTGGGTATAAATCTAAAGCACGTGTTTTCCTGTCACGGAAGCTTGGCAGTCCATCAGACTGGTCTGTCAGCCAGGCTGCGTCGTGCGGCAGTAAGAGTGCTAAACCTCAGTGACTCGAAGTGCAGAGGTCATGCTCCCCCTCTGTGTCCCTGCTGGGCACACCTGCTGTCCTCATGCGGGTTCCCAGGCCAGGGGAGGCTTGATGCTCCCGGCTGGGTGTCTGCTGAGGTGGGGAAGGGGGGACGCGGGGGCCTGCGCGTCTGCTCTGCAGGCCTCTGCCCAGAAGAGCAAGTCACGTGTTGGCGCCCGGGTCCCAAGGACGGTGGGCCTTCAGATTAGCTCTTGTCTCCCAGGTGCTGGCCGAGAGCAGCTGACTGTGGGATTCAGTCTGTTCACTGCTGTTAACACAGTTTTGACTTTTGTGATGAAACTGTATTTTTATTTCTGGGCAGTCACATTATGTCTGGCACATCTGGGCATATTACATTAAAGTATTCACGAGAAGCCATTGTGAGGCACAAGGCTAATTGGCGTCACCCCCACTGACACCAAAACCTCCGTGGAAATAAATAAGGAACTTAAGAAAACCTGTTGATGTTTGAGAATCACTCCAAAAGGGGAAAAAATAAAACCTGCTTTAGAAATCGATTTACAAAGTTACTCCAAGAATTCCAGATTATACCTCAAAGCTGTATTGTCAAAATTATTTTTATCATTTGGATTACCATAAAACATAATTTGTGGCATTATTTCTTTAGATACATCAGTTAAGTTTAAGGAATTTGTCTCAAGAATCTTTTCCAAGTTATCATCAACCAACTCTGTGTGTGTTTGTGAACACGTGTGTGTTTTCGTGTGCTGACAGTTGTATAACATGTATTTCAGGGACATTGTAGCAATGATTAACACTAATAGTGTATCAAGCAACTTTAAAGCGATTATTAAAAGGACAAGAATTATTACAGTAACTGTCTGACTAGAAGAGCACAGTGTTGTTGCCATACATTATAATAGCAAGTTAAAGACTGAGCTGTCCCTACTAATGAGTTATTCAGGTACAAGAATGAGAAGATGAAAGAGATGGAGTAAAAACAGAGCTTGATACACAGGTGTGTGTGCACTGGAAAGCACATCTGGTTGAACAAAACTTAAACGATAATTACCTTACAAGGTCACCTTATACAAGGCCTAGAACATAAATCTGACTTGGAAACTTGGCCAGGCGTTGACTGAAGAAACAAATCAGCCTCCACTAAGACTGGACGCATCTTGGCCCAGGTGGACATGAATTGATAAAACGAATTATCATGAGATAAAACTGAAGCAAAAAGCCTCAAGACTTCGGGTATTAAAAATTTCTAAAATGGGATGTCATGAGATATGTATTCCAGTTAAATTCCTGTAGAATAAAGCTGCCCCCTGTTTGACTGTGACCTGATTATGGTGATTCTGGGCTGGCGAGTTATGAGGTTGTATTTTTCTATCTACGTGCAGGTATGAAAGAGAGAAATGGGTCAGTAATTGATAAGGATACTGAGGACTCATAACTGACCAATAAATACCGTTTTAGCAGTCAGAGTCGTCCCAAGAGTTCAAAGGCTGCTCTTTACCTTCTCAACTGCCTTCAAATAATATTTAGTGTTCGTCCTTGCGGGAACAATGGATCACAGTTTGGGCATAATTTCCTTTCAGTGTTTAAGCCTATGAGCCTCCTTTGTTTTAAGACAAGCGTGTGGGTCCATGCGGGCAGAGACTGTCGTGTTGACCACCGTATCCTCATTAACGTGAAGAGGCCCTCAGTGAATGTTTTTTTAATTGAACAGTGAACATCACAGAGATTTGATGGAGTTAGACCAGGATCCTTCTCTAATAATAAAGGGCAACCTTGTCAAAGACTTGTCTCCACCTTATTTCTTTACTTTCAGTGCTACTCAGTCTAGCAGCAGAAACTCAAGTGCGAGGAATCATTTTCATTTTTTTATGTATGTTGTGATTGTTAAACTCCAGGCAACGCCTAGTCTTCTGTTACATGTATTGAGAAAAATGCTTCAAGTATCTTCAATGACCTTTATTTCCAAGGACTTAGCCATAACCACTTGCATGAGTATTATTGGTTTATTGAGTAAGTGACATCTTTACCTTCATTCCCTCATTCTTCTGCTGGAGGATTATGCTTAGAAAGTCAAAATAAGGTTAAGCACAATTCCTCTCCTATTCTACCAATCCTTTAGAGTTTCTAAATGCTCTTAACACTTCGCAGGGACTTGGAGGGGATACCTCTTCTGAACTCCTGATACTTTTCTTTACGTGTAAAGACCCAGCTGACTCTCTCCCCCGCGCTGAGCGACCACTCTGACGTTAAGTGTGGGGAGGAGGACAGTGTGGACACGCTCACCTCCATTCCACAGTCCGCCTCTCAGGAGCTGGCTTCTCACCCGCAGGAGGCCTCTGTGCTGCTCCTCCAGGAGCAGGCTCGTCCCCGCCTCACTGAGCAGTCGGCTTCAGTCCAGAACTGCCAGCAGCTGGGTGGATAAATTTTTCTAATTCTTTCAGTAAATGGATGGGATCCTTCAGCTTAGCCTCTCTGGGTCACCAGGGTGATGTATTGACCCCCTCTTCCTGTTTGTCTTCCTCCTTTGGGAGGGAGAAAAGGTCTTCTTTATTGGACACCCTCAAGCCTTCATCATTTTGTCATGTTGGCCAGGATCACTGAAAAATGAGTTATAAGGAACAAAACCCAACATGGAGTCACCAGAGCCTGGGCCTGGGGCTTGGACTCACCGTGCGGCAGGGTGTGCTGGCCTGACGTCAAGGAAGCCTCACCCTGTGGACGCAGTAGGCACATGATGCCTAAAGCCACGATCCTTTCAGGGGTCCCTGAAAATGCTTTCATCAGCAGTAGTATTCACATTCTGCCAGGGAAGAACTGAAGGCACAGAGAGCTTAACTAACTTGCTGGAGGTCATGCAACTAGCAAGTCAGAGGATCAGGATTCAAATCTAGATAGCCTGGCCTCTCGGGAGGTGTTCGTATCTGAGCAGGGAACACCTCAGCCTGCAGCCCACCCTCAGGTGCCCTGAGAGTAACTAGGC